TCGTCTCGGATGACGAAAGGACTGGTAGTCAAATTGTCCCACAACGATATGAGTAGACATGAAGTTTCAATTGAATTTCACATGGCCTTGTTTCTAAAAGTTATTTTCATCCGGGGTGGACTGCCGTTCCGACATTGCCTGCGCCTCATCAGCACCCCCAGCGAGACTAAAACCATGAAAGTGCCACGCCTTATTTCGACATGTCAACCACTACGCCTCATTGCCATCAATGTACTTGGGACAAAGCGCAGATGTGAATTTCAATACAGGCCAGCCAATTCCCTCCATCGCCTTCTATGACGGACGGAAGCTTAGCACCTTCTCACCGGAATCGAAGAAGATTGCCTCGGAAACAGCGTCAGCATGAATCTTCCATTAAAGCCAATCGACAGCTGGTCAAGAGGAATTCGCCATCGTCTTCTGGTGGAACCGACCTTCGAATCTCTCCAGTCGAAATGGAAGTAAGCGCAACGAGTCTGAATCTTTGCCTGAATCCATCCTGCCTAATTCAGTAGGCCTGTAGATACACTTAAGTAAACAAATACGGCAACTATAACCGCTCTTCCACAAATAAGTAGTACAGCATCAACTCATCTGTTAATTCTACCCAAGCAAGGCTTACATGGCAAGCTTGAGTTGATAATGTTACCAGAAGTAGGCATGATTTCGCACGCCCATTCCGAGTCTTCTCCGGCTCCATCTCGATTAGGTGCTTTCCTGCCTCCACCGAACGCCTGAATCAGCCATTTGTTCTTTTGCTGCCAGGATTCGTCGAAGTGGAGCGACTGTTCTGCCGGGTTCTTCGGACCCGAATTGAATGAGCCTGGCAACCGGTGTCTTGACGCGAGGGGCCAACCCAAGTCCTGTGAATAGGCAGGCATTGAAGGGTTCCGTGTTATTGTCATGGCTTTAGTCCGCCTGTCGGAGGTTGCAGAGTTTGGCGCAAAAGACTCAGCCACTAGTCGATGCTGTGAACAGACGAGCCGACGTCCGCCCAACACGAGATGGCATCGGTCACCTTGACCCATTTGACGGCCACACTCGAAACAGGTGAAGCAGGTCAGATGGAATGGAAGTCGGTTGACTCGATGCACCCAAGCATCACTGGACAAGTGAGCTCCGCATCGCTGGCAATGGGTCAGGCTGAATTTAAGACAAAAGATGGCCACAAGTTACACAGTGGACAGGTCCATATTGAAATTGGGAGAAGAAACTAACGGGGCATGCTTGATTGAATGGGGCAAGGCCTAAAGGATGTGATTTCGATGTGAGCATGGTGACGAGAAAAAATTAGTTTTCAAGTATGACTTAAGAAAAACTGGCTTTCGAATACGTCCCTATACATTCATTTTCATTAATTCATTTAATTTAAACAAAAAAATTCTTCA